AAAAATGTGAAATCAAATGAAATAAATTAAATTATAATAAAAATTAAATTAATAAAAACTTTTAAAGAAATTTATAAAATACAGAAATCTATTTTGAGGGATATAAAATCGAAAATTATTCCTTAGGATAACCTGCTACCCACATATGGCTTGTCCGGCTGTCATCATGAAACAGCAGCAGGCGCCGGACAGGCAGCGGAAGGAGCAATGCAAGCTGAAATCATTGACTAGGCCCGTGGCCATGCCGCAGCAGAGCAGGCCCCAGATGCCGACGATGTAGACGCGGCGAGGACTGAGCACTCGCATCAGCCGTGTGGCCACCACGCCGCCGACGAACATGCCGAAGAGATGCCAATACTGGGACCAGGCCACGAAGATGTCGCTCAGGCAGACCAAATCGAACTCCATGATGAGCGAGCGAAAGGCGTGTGCGTAGTTGAACTGCAGGCACTGTCGCATCGCATAGTTGGCCTCGCCATGGGCGACCAGCACATAGCACTGATCGTCCGAGACGGTCGTGTTCCCGGCGCCACCATAGGCGCTCGTATCGCACCAGTACTCCTCATTGGGGTACAGCTCGGGAGCTGTGAATATGATGAGGGCCATGAACCAGGCAGCCGGCAGCTTGCACAGAAAGATGATGAGCACGGAGCGCAGCTGCCAGATGCCAAAGTCACCCAGCACATGCGAGATGACATCTCCTGCTGCCGTCTCTGGCCTCTCCTCCTGCTGCTGCTGCTGCTGCTCAGCATCCTGCTGACTGGTGTATATATAGCTCAGGCGGGCATGTACCTCTGGCGTGGGCGTGGGACGGCGCTTTTTCCACGTGGCCTCAGTCGGACTGTAGCCTTGGTGCATTCTCACATGTGCAGAATCGAGTAACCACGTCTTACGGGCTTCAAACCTCCAGCATAACTGCGACTACGCTTCAGCTTAGCGCCGCCATCAGAAAGTCTGAACAATCGCGGAGCAGAGTCCCCGGTTGGTGCTAGCCGACGATATCGTCGCTAATCAGATTGTCACTAAAATTTATTTCAGATGTTCGACAACGGCAAACATTGAAGTCTGCCTAAACGATTATGTCAACAGGTATTTCTGTTATTATTTTTCTATTTTCTTTATTGTTAAGGTTTTCCATTGTGGCTAATGAGTAAAGAGTATACAGGCTTTTGACAGGGACTGTGTAATGGTTAATGAAAACATCAAATTCACGTGACGTGCATTCCTTTGAATGTAGTATTTGCAAAGGGGGACCAACCCAATGAAGTGAGTTCCCATAGAGTCTATGGATCATGATATGAAGCCGAGTCGATATAGTTTATTAGACTGTCTGCACCATTTAATTATTAATTTTATTAATTCTTATTATTATTAATTATATCTTGCCAGGTGTCAAGGATATACCATACATAAAATCATATCACCCTTCCAGAGAATTTTTACTTGTGTGCATTTTAATGATCTGTTTATCTAGGATTTAATATTTACAAAATAAGTTTATATAAAGTATCTGTACAAGCTAAGTATATAGGCTCATAAATTCTTAAATTCATATCAACAGTATTTAACTATGCCATCTATAGGAATAGTATAGGAATAGCCCTCAAAACCATTTAAAAACATTGTTTAAGACAGAGCAATAGTTTTTAATCAGGTCCCATTCCCTTTTAGCCAAGACTCCAACCCAGTATTTTTGGGCAGCGCCACCTAGTGGCATGGCGAGTAGGCCATCTAATTGAATGTTACCAACAGTCAATTTGAGTTTAAATTGGGAAGTAAAAACGAACAGAAATTATAAATTGATGATTTAATTAACATACGTTTAAAAAGAGCAAAAACTGACAGTAAATTGATGATTTAATTAATTAAATAATCATAAATTTTCCTTTATTTTGTTGAGTCCACGGCAGCATTATTATTAATGGTGTTTGCATAACAATTTTGATAATAATTATAATTTATATTAGCTTATATCATATGTGAATATGCATATCAATATTATTATATATA